TATAAGCAGCGCGCTGCAGGAATAAAAGAGGCGCGGGGCAGTGCGGGCATGGTTGTAAGAGGGGGGCAGAGCGGGATGGTGGGCTCGTTGATGTTTCCCCCCTGTGCAACGAAACGCGTGAGGGGTGTACCGAAATGGTGCGGGACAACCATGCGTGCGCAGCCGTTGGGGCATTGGAGCTACGAAGCGTGTGAGGGGTGTGCCGAAACTGAGGCGGTGGTGGCATGCGAGCGCAGCCGCTGTGGCCTTCGGTGGAGCTCCATTTGGGGCCACGAAACGTGTGAGGAGTCTGCCGGAATGGGCGCGGTGGCACCATGCGAACCTTGCCATTGGGGCCTTCGGTGGGGCTCCCTATGGGGCCACGAAACGTGTGAGGGGTGTGCCGCAATGGGCGCGGTGGCGCCATGCGAACCTTGCCATTGTGGCATTCGGTGGAGCCCCTAATGGGGCCACAAAACGTGTGAGGGGTGTGCCAAAATGGGCGCGGTGGTGCCATGCGAACCCTGCCATTGGGGCCGTCGGTGGGGCTACCTATGGGGCCACGAAACTTGCGAGGATTGTGCCGAAATGGGCGTGGTGGTGCTGTGAGAAACCTGTCACTGGCGCCTTCGGTGGGGTTCCCTACGGGGCCACGAAACGTGTGAGGGGTGTGCCGAAATGAGCGCGGTGGTGCCATGCGAACCCTGCCACTGGGGCCTTCGGTGGGTCTCCCTATGGGGCCACGAAACGTGTGAGGGGTGTGTCGAAATGGACGCGGTGGCGCCACGCGAACCCTGCCACTGGGGCCTTCGGTGGGGCTCCCTATGGGGGCCACGAAACGTGTGAGGGGTGTGCCGACATGGGTGCGGTGGCGCCATGCAAACTTTGCCATTGCGGCATTCGGTGGAGCCCCTAATGGGGCCACGAAACGCTTGAGGGGTGTGCCGAAACTGAGGCGCGGTGGCGCCATGCGAACCTTGCCACTTGGGCTTTCGGTGGAGTTCCATATGGGGCCACGAAACGTGTGAGGGGTGCGGCGAAGCAAAGACATGCGACGAGCAGAGGCGAGGAGGGGGGGGGAAGAGGAGAGGAGAGAAGAGGAGAGGAGAGGAGTGGAGGGGAGAGGAGGGGAGAGGAGAGGAGGAGGAACGCGTGTCGCTGTCTCTTCGAATCGAGGACCCAACACCACTGGACGGTTGGGAACAAGAACCTAGAAAAGAGGCGATCCATTCAGGTTAATCGGCGATGCCGAGAAGACGGGATGGTGCACGGACATAACCGCGGCCGACGCCCCGCCTCCGGCAGAATACGCGCGGGCCTGCCCCTCCAGTGCACCAGCTTCTCCTCCTCATCCGCTGCCCTTTCCGCCAGCTCTTCCTCCTCCTCCTTTTCCTTCTCATCCTCCTCCTCCTCGCTCTTCTCATCATCATAATCATCAGCAGCATCATCATTGTCACCTTCATCACCATCATCATCAAGAGCAACAACAGCAGCAACATCATCATCATCAGCAGCATCGTCATCAGGATCAGCGTCGTCATTATCACCATTATCATCACTATCATCATCATCATCATCATCATCATCATCATCATCATCATCATCATCATCACCATCACTATCAGCAGCAGCATCCTAATCGTCATCCTTATCATTATCGCCAGCAGCATCATCATCGCTATCAGCATCAGCATCATCATCAGCAGCATCATCGTCATCGTCATCGACATAATGAGCATCATCAGCATCATCATCAACATCAGCAGCATCATCATCGTCTTCATCATCACCACCACCAATACCATCACCACCATCATCATCATCATCGTCATCAGCATCAGCATCATCATCACCATCAGCATCATCAGCATCAGCATCAGCATCAGAAACATCATCATTCTTAGCATGCATCCAGTAACCACGCGAGGGATTCCAGAAAGAGCCTCGCCTTGGAGGATGGAAGGAGTTGGCATCTCTTCCCCTGCCGAAGGCAGCGGAAGGCCCGTGGAAGCTGGCGAAGGTAAAACGAGTCCGCCTCCGCCGGCGGAAGTAGGAATGCGTTCCCAAGAGATGGCAACAGTTTCAGGTGCAGGATTTCCAGAACCAGCCATGTGCCTCACAGTTCTCGGCCATGCCATGGGCGCGCCCCACGTGCATCGTCTCCAGCCAGACGTTTTCTATCGAATTGTTCGAGCTTCCAGTTGTTCCGCTGTCCTCCCCTCGGATCGCATTCTTTTGGTGAGCCTTCGGGCTGCTATGAGGCTGGCTTCTAGCCAGCTCGTGGCGACAGCTTGCTTCCAGCCTAGGAAGCGTCAGCTTGTTTCTCAGCGTGCGATGCAGTTTGTGTGTTCAGCTCTCCTGCTATCACAGCCCGTCGCGGCTAGTTCATCACCAAGGCGAGGAGGACGACGAGGAGGAGGATAAGGGGGACTTGACCACGATCTCTGACCTGGACGCATGGTTTACAATGCACTACCACGCCTCCACCTCTTGAGGGGTCAGCTGAGTTCCACGTTTGCTTTCAGCTCCTCCTTCAGCATCAAGGAATGGACGAAATGCAGCGACGCTGCCGCCGACTTGCCATCCGAATTTCTTGAAGTGTGAACGAGATGCTCTACGAGATTGTGAGATGCACGGCACCTTGAGTAGCGAAGCTAAAAGCACGTAGGATAATTTGGATGTGTTACTCTTTCCCACACCTGCGTATCATCCTCCTCAGCCTCCTCTTGCAAGGAAGCCGCGCAAATTACGCATGCAGTAGCTGTCACCAGCACCTCTGACAAATGAACGAGGATGCGATCCTGCTGCGGTAGTCGGTTTCTTCTCGTCCCTCGTCTTGCCCTTTCTTAGCCGCACCCCCCCCCCATGCTTCGGCACCTCCCGCTCGTACAATGTACAGAAGTTGGCGGCCGCCCAGCTGCATCCCAAAGCGAGCGGGTGCGCGAAGATCGAGGCGCTTGCACCAGAGACGGATAATGTGCACGTGCTCTTCAGCCGCGCCGTGCGGCGAGGACAAAACAGAGCAGTGGCAAGAGCGCGGGAACCGACGGCACAGGGCAGATTTCGATCTAATTCGGTCCCATTCGATACCGGATCTGGCCGCACCGATCCGATTCGATTCCGATACTCTGGCGGTCCGATGCCGCCCGATGTTTGTGTGGCGCTGTTGCGCATCATGTCGCAGCCGATCCGATTTGATTTCCACTCCGTGCCGATGCAGCTGGATCCGGCGCGCGTTCCGATCCGATACGCTACGATTCAATGTTGATTGATCCTGCGACATTTTCGAAGATTGAAGGGCAAGACCATCTTCCAGACTCCTGGGTGCTGCAGTTGTTTTTTTCATTGACAAAGAAGGAGTAGCATAGACATGAATTCTCGGAGGTCCGCCTGGATTTTTGGGATGGGCGGTGGAACCCCCTCTGCCCAGCGCGCGGAGCGCGCCAGTGGCGGCGCCAGAGGCGCCGCGACGGGGGGTCCAGCGCCGATCGAAGATGGCCGCGCGGACCTCCGAAAGAATATGATTCCGCACGCTGTTCTTCCTGGAGTTCTTGACGTCGGCTGCAGGGCTCTCGACCCCAGCCCCAGGTGGGCTGATCTCTCGCTGCACGTTGGGCAAGCACGCCGCCCCGACCCCCAGAGGTTGTCCCCGATCGCTCCTCGGAGTTCGGCTCGGGAGGTCAGCCGAGTGCGCTTGAAAGGACAGGGATTCAGCATGAGGGAAGCGGGTCCTGGAAGAGTCGAGTAGGGGATCGACTGCAGAATTGATTTACCCCAAGACTGGTCTTCTCGTCGAGTCCATGAAAAGTGCGTGGAATGGTCGTAGCTCTGTGGACGTGCTCGGGAGTTCTCCATGGATTGATGAGAAGATGAAGTTTGGTGTCAATACATTATGTAGTCGATCCCCTACAGTGGAGACCCATGCCAAGCAACACCCTGCTTGCCTCCAGGGTGCCCTGGGTTTCTTGGGTTTCGATGGTTCTGCTATGGAAAGCGTGACCTTCCCACCCAAAATCAATGGACGTCCTGGGGTCTCAGGGTTGGGTTTCTTGTGGAATGTTTATTGTGGTCGAGCTCCTACTGCTTTCGAAAGAGGGGAAGGATGAGGGTTCGAGGGCCTTGGGCGTCCCTCCGTCTTGTATGGCCTCCCCGGGAGGCTCCTCCTCGTCACGGCCAGATTCTTCCCTCGAACTTCGAGTCGGAGCGCACTCCGAGATCAGGACGGCAGTTATCGGGTTGGGAGGACGGGGTTGAGAGAAATGATCACGTCATAAATACTACCATGTGGGGCGTTCCAGAAAGAGCCTTGCCTTCGAGGATCGAAGAAGTTATCATCTCCTCCGCCGCGGAAGGCGATGGAAGGTCGGCGGCGTCATCAATTGAAACAGAAACGGCATCAACATAAACTTTTGGCGGTCCGCGCGCATTTCTTGGATCCGCCCTGGGACCCCCTTGCCGGTGCCTCTGGCGCCACCCCTGGCGCGCTCCGCGCGCCAGAGATGGAGGTCCAGCGCAGATCCAAGAAATCAGCGCGGAGCGCCACAAGTTTATGTTTATGCCATTGTGTTGTTCCTCCGAATTAATACTATCACGTATGTTGAATGTGCTTAGTACATAGTCGTGCCCCGTCCTCCCAAAACGATAATTCTCTCTCTCACGAGAGCTGTCCGCGGCCGAGCTGCAGGGGCCGCCATGGAAAAAGTGAGCCCCGGATGAAAAGTCCTGGAAGATGCTTCCAGTTTTCGGACGCCCGGTGCCGCTTCCTGGGCCCATCAAAAGACGATTCGATTGCGCGCGTCGGCGAACACTGATATTAGGGGGCCAGAGGGACTAGAAAAACTTGCGTTTGATTTCGCGGAGGGTTGTAGGACTCGTTTCCTTCAGAACACCTTTCGTTTATGGCGGGGGGGGGGGGCGTGATGTCGATCGCCTACCGCTGGATGGTCCCTCTGCCCGATCGGGACGCTTCTGGTCGTCCTCGGCCCGGCCGCGGCGTTGGCTGCGTTACTGGACGACCGCAGGGGTGCCCGGAGGACAGGTGCTGCAATCCCGAGCTGGCTAAGGTTCAGCCTTGCGCGCACGAGTCCTCAGCGAGAACCATTCACTCGATCAAGAATTTCCGTTCAACGGTCGAGTGATATTCCCCAGGAGAGCCACGCGGCCGCGAGAGGAGAGGCTGAAGAAAGGAGTGCTGATGCATATCTGGGCTTCCGTTCTTGGTCATTTATGGGCGCACGGCTGACTCACCCAGCGTTGGCTCTGTAGGTCTCCCCATTGGTTTCCAGCGTCGGGCGTTCATGGAGATCGCTCGAGGCCTCCTGACTTGAACGGTACCCTCTGATCATATTGGGGCCGTTCGCTATCGATATGGGCTTTTTTAGGCGCGCCGCCCATTGTGGCGCACACCTGAGTTTGAGATCGTGCGCACCAGCGCAAGCGTAGGCCGCTGTCTGTCCAGGCTGCATTGCCCGTGGTTTGATTTAAGTTAGAACACCAGGGCGTGGGGTTGGGGGTGTGGACGCGTGTGGGCCAGGGGAGGTTCTCGAGGCTCGGGCCAGGCTGTCCGCCCCAGATTCTCTGAACTCTCAGAGTGGCTTCCTCTGACCCGAAACGCACGAGTAAGGCGAGGGAGAGCGAGTAGGGAGAGGAACACAGAGACGCAAAAGGAGGAGGAGGAGGAGGAGGAGGACGACGACGACGACGACAACAACGAGGAGGAGCAGGTCGACGACGACGACGACAACGACGACGACCAAGACGACAACCAAGACGACGACCAAGACGAAGACGCTGACGACGAGCAGCAGGACGACGAAGGCGGCGACGAGCGGCGACGAGCGGCGGCGGCCGCGCGGCCCGCAGCTCCCTGCCGCTCTCGGAAGGCCTCGGCCAGGGCGGGCGCTGGCGCCCACCGGCGCGCGCAGGGAGCCCCCCACGGCGCGCCGGCGCGCGCCCGCGCGGGGCGTCGCGCCGCGAGGCGGCCGTCCGCCCAAGGCGCCCCCACCGGGCAGGCGGTGGCGACGACGAGGTGGACCCGTGAGAGGCAACGTTGCGGGGGGATGGTGATGATGATGATGATGATGTTGATGCCAGTGATGATGATGATGATGATGATGATGATGATGATGATGATGATGATGATGATGATGATGATGATGATGATGATGATGATGATGATGATGTTGATGCCAGTGATGATGATGATGATGATGATGATGATGATGATGATGATGATGATGATGATGATGATGATGATGATGATGATGATGATGATGTTGATGCCAGTGATGATGATGATGATGATGATGATGATGATGTTGATGCTAGTGATGATGATGATGTGATGATGATGATGATGATGATGATGATGATGATGATGATGATGATGATGATGATGATGATGGTGATGGTGATATTGAGGGTGATGGTGATGGTGGTGGTGATGGTGATGATGATAATAATGATGGTGGTGATGGAGAGTGTGATGGTGATGGTGATTGTGGTGGTGAAGATGAATGTGATGATGGTGATGCTGGTGATGCTGGTGATGATGATGATGATGATATTGATCATGATCATGATCATGATGATGATGACGGTGGTCGTTGTGATGGTGATGATGATGGGCATGGTGATGATGATGGTCATGGTGACGGTGATGGTGATGGCCATGGTGATGATGACCTTGATGGTGATGGTGATTATGATGGTGGTGATGGTGATGGTGAGATGATGGTGATGTTGATGGTGATGGTGATGGTGATGCGTATGATGATGATGATGATGATGATGATGATGATGATGATGATGATGATGGTGATGATGACGATCATGATGATGGTGATAGTGATGGGGATGGTGATGATGGTGATGATGATCGCGGTGATGGAGATAATGGTGATGGTGGTGATGGTGATGCTGATAGTTTGTCGCAGTGATGGCGATGATGATGATGTGACGACAACGACGACGACGACGACGACGACGACGACGGTCAGATTGGCCTGTCAGGGACAACGTGACTGGGGGGGTGGTCTTAGGACGTCAAGCAGTGGCGAAGCCTCCAGACCTGCTCACATGAACACCAAAGACTGTTATGACAAGTGTTGTTGATGTGCACGAGATGTTCTTGGTGCGATTGTCTTGTTTCAGAATGCTGGTGCTATGCTTTGAGAGCGATGTTCTTGACCGTCGAACATTCTTTGTTCTACACAGATTTCGCGGTTGGCCTTTAGGAATACCACGACGGCTGGTCCTTGCTGAATGAGGGCGGGATGCCCCAATTGCCCATGGATCGCCGGTAGTGGCCAGAGACGGTCAGCAAGTTTGGCATAGCATGTCGCGCCGCCAGCTTTGGCCTACCACTCTTCGGTGCGACACGTAAAACCACGTCCCCATTCCCAAGCGTCAACGTCCCGAGCTTCTCCCAGCCTTCCGCCCCGTAGAGCGGAGAGAGACGCTATCCGCTCGCAGGGAATACTCCTCATCCCCTCCATCCTCACCTGCCGCCTCCCATCCCTTCCCCTCTCTATCTTCCCTCCCTTGTCCCCATCCATCCTCCCGTCCCTCCTTCCCCCTCAAGTATACCAAGTGGAAAGGATGGCGGGACAAGGGCAAGCTGTGTCCCCCAGCGGGCCACAATAAAGCATCGCAGCGCAGGGATGAAGCGCGACTACGACCACCTCTTCAAGGTGGTGCTGATCGGAGACTCGAACGCCGGCAAGTCCTCGCTGCTCCTGCGCTTTGCGGATGACACCTTCTCGGAGAGCTACATCACCACCATCGGTTGCGGGGGGTGGGCAGTGCAGTAGCTTTGTTTAGATGGTGTGCGCATCTTCGCGCCGAGCCGGTTGATCGGCATGACGCATGACCCCCGTAGCATACCCACTCGCTACCAGGGAAGGATTCGTGCGCTGCCTGCGTGGGAGCGACGAATTAGTTTACAACTCATAGTATATCCCTTCGGGGATGGCAGGCTGTCCACTGGACAGCCCATGGATTGGGCGCCGTCCCACTGGAGGCGGCAGATGAGTTCATTTGGAGCACCGCTCCTCCATGTCGTTATGGCTATCTGGCGTTATACACTGTGAGTTCGTCTAGACGGCATCACGGGGCACGATACCTTCGAAAGTCGATACACATTTGGCCGTCAGGCAACCATTTGCGTACACCCGCTTCTACATGATAAGTTGATGCATGATCATGCTCATGGTCTTGAGGTGCCCAGCAGCGTGCCTGCAAGTCTGTGCACGTGTGTTGGCATTGGCCCGACGCTGCGTATCCTAGCAAGTATGTGTGGGCCGCTCAACGCTCCACAGTTGTCTGCGCTTCGACATACTGTCGAGTGGACGAGAACCGCTATTTCATTGCAATGGGTTGCCTGCAGATTGTTCGTGTCGTAGCTGTTTGACGCCTCGGCCCCCCTGCTAGCGTACAGCGGGAAAGGTCGCATGACCGTCACATGACCACGCCACCATGGAGTGGTTTGAAGAGGGCGAACAGGATATTCTCTGGCATATATGGGCACACTTGCACTAGGGGACAGTGAGTCCCTTCAGACGCGTCTAGGGGCAACCAGGCTGAGTTCGCATAACTCGGAGGGCCCGCTTGGGCGCTGGAGGAATCCTAGATGGTCCTAGCACCTATGGGGTGACTCAGATCCAGCGCGAGGGCTACGAGGAACCAAACCAGCTCAATTTCGATCCCTCTGTCGATATCAAAGCGTTCGGAGCAGGTGCGTTTGCATGGTTGCACGTGTAGACACATTGGCAGTCTGCAGAGCTAGCTAAGTCGTTGATTGGTAATCAGCGGGAGGGAGGAGTGGACTTCCGCTTCAAGACCATAACCGTTGATGGAAAGACTATCAAGCTGCAGATTTGGGATACCGCTGGACAGGAGCGCTTCCGGACTATCACGAGTGCATATTATCGCGGTGCGGACGGAATTGTCATGGTATACGATGTCACCGACGCGGACTCCTTCAACCACGTGAACGATTGGGTGACTGAAGTGAACAGGTCATCCTGCGTTTTCATCTTGTTGCTTTTGATGTGTAACATGGACCGTTTTTGCGGTATCATTACCCACGTGTCGTTCCCCCTGATCCCCGGAGAAAACATTCGGGCCGAAACCTTGAAATCTCGAGTAAGAGTAACAAAGCATTCGATGTGGGCTGAGAGTGTTCTTGAATGCCACATTGCAGCATAGCACAGCATAGCTAAGTCCTTGAAGACTTCGATGGGAAATCCCAGAATGTGGGGCACCCCCCGTATAGCTCAAAGGCTATTGTTCGCAGGCAACCACGATGTGTCTTAGATCCAGCTGCCAGGGGCAAGTTCCGCCACCGTGCCAGCCCAGCATCATGGGCGGCCACTGTGCGAGGGGGCGCGGGAAGCCATTACGTGTGACACCTCGTGTCTCCAAGCTTCGTGGTGATGGTGATGGTAAGAGTAATGGTGATGTCGATGATGGTGATGGTGATGATATGGTGATGATGCTTATAATGATGATTTTGCGGGTAATGATGGCGCTGGTGATAATGACGATAACGATGGTGATGATGGTGGTGATCATGATGTTGATGGTGATGGTGATTGCGATGGTGAGATGATGGCATGATGATGGTGGTGATTATGACGATGATGATGATGAGGATGATGATGATGATGGTGATGACGGTGATGGTGATGGTGATGATGATGATGGTGATGATGATGATGATGGTGATGGTGTTGGTGTTGGTGTTGATGTTGGTACTGATGCTAGTGCTGATGATGATGCTGATGGTGATGGTGATGGTGACAAGGACGATGGCGATGACTATGGCGATGATAACACTAGTGATATTGTTGATGATGGCGATGATGATGATGCTGGTGGTGGTTGCGGTGATAATGGTTGTGATGATGATGGTGGTGATGATGATGATGACGATGATGGTGATGGTGGTGATTATTATACTGTTGCTGTTGTTGTTGATGCTAATGCTGATGGTGGTGGTTATGGTGATAATGATGGTGCTGATGACGGTGCTGATGGTGCTGATGGTGATGGTGACGGCGATGGCGATGGTTATGGTGAATGTGAGGGTGAGGGTGGTGGTGATGGTGAGGAGGAGGAGCAGGAGGAGGAGGAGGAAGGCCATTAAATGTGGCATCTTTCGTCTTCAGTTTGAGCAGCTCTCATGGAACTCGTTTGGGCCATCTTGTGGCCGCCTTGGCCTCCTGTGAGGCAGTCTTGGGTGGCCCTCTTGTGTAGTTCTGCGGCCCGCCAATCTGGGGCTCTCTTGGGCCGTCTGGAGGACTTCTTGGCCGTGTGGTGAGTGCCTGGGGGCCGTCTTGGGGAGTCGAAGGGCCCTCTGTAGCCGTCTTGAGTCCCACGGGAGGCTTCCTGGGCCGTTTTGGATGCCTCTTGGGCCCTTGCGGGGTCTTCTTGGGCCATCTTCGGACCCTCGTGGGGGCATTTTGGGCCTCCTGAGGGTCATCGTGGAGGCTTCTTGGGCTGTCTTGAGCTGACGGAAGCCCGAAAAGGCGAGAATGCGAAAATGATTCGAAAGAAAACGTGAGATACATGATGTTGGCTTCTTGGGGCCCTGTTGGAGGTCCTCTTGGGGTCCTTTTGGGCCCTCTTGGAGGCATCACATCGTGGCCCGTCTTCGAGGCATCTTGGGCAATATTGGTTGCTTTGGTTGCCTGCCTGGGCCATCTTGGAAACTCGGAACGCGGCCGCATCTCTTTTTATGAGGGATCGTGGACTTTGGAGCGCGGATCCATTGGTTTTTCTACGAGGGATCGTGGCTTAAAACCCTACAGAGCAGCACCTGGCATTCTAGCACGCCCACAACGTGCAGGCACGGTGGTGGAATTCGCACCGATGCAACGTCACCTCGCAGAATCCAGCGTCCTGGCCGATTGCCCTTGCACAAGCCAGCACAACGAACCGACAGCCTGTGTCTCAGTCTGTTGTGTTACGTCTCTGAGTGTCCCCGACGTTCGCTGACACGCTTGGTGGACAAAGCTGCGGTTCCCGTTTTTGTCCAGTCAGGTCTCGCATTGTCGCAACGTCACCTCGCAGGACCCAACGTCCTCGCCCATTGCCCTTGCGCAGAGTATCACACCAGCAGCTGGCCGTGCCCCTCGCCCCATCGGGGAAGGGCAGCGCCAGGCTTCAGAAGGAGCCCAGGAATTCGGCGAAGGAGTTCGGCGCATATGCGCTCGGGCGCCCCGCAGCTCGGGCAGCTGAGACGTCCACACGCCGAGATCCCGGAGCACCTCCCACGGCCCCAGACTGTTTTCTTCGCCCTTCCGGCCGGCAGAAGGTACGTGAACGAGTCCACCTGCAAGATGCTGATCGGCAACAAGTGCGACCTGACGGAGGAGCGCCAGGTCGCCCCCGTCTGGGGGGCCGGGTGACCCCGGGCTGGCCCTTCTCCTCCGACTGCACGTGACAATGGCCTTTCGCTAGAGTGTCCTCTGTGCGGGCCCATTGGGGTCCTCCGACCGCTGAACGCGATGCCGGCAGCATCGGCTTGCGCACTTCGGTTTGGCCCCCCTGGCGCCCCTCGGACGGGGCAAGAGGCGAGGATAAAGCCGTTCCAGAGCGTTCTGGAACGCTTTCAGAGCGTTCCGGAACGCTCTCAGAAGGCCGCGACGCCCGATACATCCTCCAGATCCGCCGGATCTCAGAGATTCGCGATTTATCTTCACTCGAGTTTATCCTCGTCCTAGCTTCGTCTTCGCCCCACGAAAACTGCGCCAGAGGTCAGTCTTGCGCCACAAAAGCCATTGCGGGTAACCCTTGCCTGCTCCCGGCGAGGCGCCCCCGCGAGAATATATCCAGCAGTTGATCCGACGCCAGGGACGAGTATCCAGGATCTCCTCGGGCGGTGGCACGAGCGGTGGCCCTGTGTGTGTGTGTGCGGGGCCCCAGCAGCTCGCCCTCAGCACGTGCTGGGCGTGTTCCCCCCGCCCAGCGCTGCCGCCTGTGGCTGCTGCGCCCCCCCGGCTGCCCTGCGGCCGCCGCCCGGCTGCCCCGGCGCTACCCCTGCCGCGGCCTGGCCCCGCTCTGAGCGGGCCCGGCCTCTCCTCCGTCCTGCCCGCGCCAGGCTTCCTCCTCCCCCTTCTCTTGCATTGCGGTTTAATTCGCATCTGCATGCCGTACATATGCTCTTTCCGCCAGCGCAGTCACTCTCTGCCTAGCCGCCGACGCAAAAAAATGTGCGGGGCCCCTCCTGGCTGCGCCTGCTCGGCGGGCCTTGGTGGATAGTTCCTCTGAGGAGCAGCGGGTTCGTCTTGCCCCGGGACGGGCTTTTTGTCGCCTTGGTTCGACTATACGTAAAGTGACCTTTCGCCGGAGTGACCTTTGGTGCAAGCCGAATGGGGTCCCCGATCGCTGAACGCGAAGCGGTGGCACCAGCTTGTGCGCCCGGGTTTGGCCACCCCGCATCCCCCAAGAAGCCGCGCTTGCGTGTAGCCGACTGGTCTTGGCCGCTTGCGACCCCTTCCCTCTGGGCCGAGTGCACTCGCGGCGCGGCGCAGAGCTGCGGGCAGTCTTGTCGCGGTCCAGCTTCCCGACGGCGCGGAGGCCGCACGGGGGGGGGCCGGAGCGTGCGTGCCGGCCCGCCCCGCCTTGCACGGGGTGGTGACTAGGGGAGGATGAGTATCATGGCGGGGGTCACGATATCTCCCAGATGTTGTATGGCTCTCTCCTGATTTCAAAACATCCCTGGGTCCCCCCCTCGTCCACGCACATGCCTCGGGCCATGGGTTGCGAGCCCCCCATTTGGACGCCCCCGACCTCCGATGCCCTCCTCTGCCGTGCAGCACGGCTGCCGCTGCCACTGCCTTCCTCCTCCGCCTCCTCATCCGAAGGTCTTGTTCCGCACCGAGTCGAGGACGAAAAACATAGCGAGCAAATGGTGGGGCCGCTCGCCGCTCTATCACAGTCTGTGACTGTTTCACCGCCTCTGGCGACACGGCTCGGTGTTGTAGTCTCTTGTGGGCGGACCTCTCGTCTGCCCGCCGCCGAGCTGGCATAGCCTGCAGCGCCCTGTCGTGCCACTTGCGGCCTGCTCTCCAGCTTGAAGGCTGCCAGGCCAGCGTCACGAACACGCAATTCGCAGTGCAACGACCGAGCGAACATGTGCTCTGCAGTGGCCACGAGGGCCGTCTTCGACGGCAACAGTTGCCTTGTGGTCAAAGCAGCCAGTTCTGACTCTTGTGTGGTCCAGTGGCCATCCCAACCATGGTGGTCCCAGACCATGTTCCAGAACATGCAATACATCTAAGTTGAGTTGCTGGTCGACTCTAACCACCCGCATCTCGGCGTGCGCCACACTGACGGACAAGCGCGCTTCACGTCAGGGTTTGGTCCGTGCTACGTTTGTGCGCTGAGCAGATTAAGATCATCATCGTGATGACCGCGCAGCAAAGGCTGCTACGTTGCCCGGACAGAAAGTGTCCACATCCATGGCGGGAAGGCGATGCAGAATGATAACAACCACAACTGCGAAATGCCCTTGCTTCGCACCCCTCCCCCCCAAATTGAATTTAGAGGAAGCGGGGTACACATGTTGGTCCGACGTACTTGCATAACTCAAGGTCTTGGCGAGACACGCGTGGACACTTTTAGTCCACCCACCGTAGTCTGTCGAGCTTGCATGCGTGCCATTTACTGTGGCCTCCCTGCGCAACTGAGCGTGTGACCAAAGCCGCCAGCAGCGACTGGTATACCGGGGCCCGCTTCAAGCAGCCTCAGCAGGATCGCCATGTCTGTCAGTGAGTTCCTGGGGGCGAGCACCTCCGCCACCCAGGGTCCATGTCGATCAGCCTTCTCGTCGTCTCGATATAAATCGATTTCGACTGCCCGCCGCATCCGACGCGGCCAGATGCCTGCGCGATGCTGCTACGCCGCATCCTTGCGCAGCCGATCCGATTCCATCTCGATTGTCGGGGACAAACAATGGCATAAACATAATAATTCGGAGGTCTGCGCGGATTCTTCGGATCGGCGATGGATCCCCCCTCCTAAGCTTGCCCAGGCGCCGATCCGAGAAATCCGCGCGGACCTCTGATTTTGCATGTTTATGTTATTCTTTGTTCCCTGAGACTCCGTGCCACCCCTGGCGGCGCCTCCAGAGCCGCCCCTGGCGCGCTCCGCGCGCCAGGAAGGGAAAGTCCAGCGCCGATCCGAGGAATCCGCGCGGAGCTCCGAGTTGTCACGTCTATCTCCTGATCTGTGTCATTGCTTGTTCCCCGAGACTCCATGCCGACGCACCCCGATCCGACGCACGTTCCGACCCGATCCGACGCATCGGTCCGATGCCGACTGATCCTGCCCCACCGCCGCATGCGGGTGCACCTCCCGCGCGCTTCGCTGCCAGGTATGGCAGAGCAAGGCACGAGGCGCGCCGCCAGAAAGCCACGGGGACGGCGCGGCCGGGCGGCGCGCGCGGCTCCGGTCTGCCCGAAGTCGGGGGCACAGGCAGTGGCATAAACATACAAACTCGGAGCTCCGCGCAGATTGCGCTGGTCGTCGCTTGTGGTTTGGCTGGAGCTTGGCGCCGAAAGGGCGACTTCTCCCCGCCGTCCCGCCGCCGGTCGCCGCCCCTTGGCGTCCCCACCCGCTGGGATGTCTGTGCCGGTCTCCTGGCGTCTAATGCGGGTCATTTTGTCCCTTGCATGTGCATACGCCACTGCGGCCAATTATCTTCGTTCCGCGCCCCGAACGTTGCCCCGCTTCTTGACCTTCGCCAGGGAGCTGCCGACCAAAAAAAATAGATTGCGCTGGACTCCCCCTCCCTGGCGCGCGGAGCGCGCCAGGGGCGGCACCGAGTCTCGGGGAACAACCAAGGACATACACATAGAATCTCGGAACTCCGCGCGGAGTCCTCAGATCCGCGCCAGGGCCCCATGGAGGCGCTCCGCGCGCCAGGGAGGGGAGTCCAGCGCCGATCCGAGACATCCGTGCGAACCTCCGAGTTTGTATCTTTACGCCATTGTTTGTTTCTACATTGAGCAGTGCCGGGCGATCGAGCTCGAGCGCGGGCGTTGAGCGTGAAGCTTGGGCCCACCCCCCCCCTCTACGCGGCGAGGTGTCCCCCGAGGAGGGCAGGAAGAAGGCGGAGGAGCTCGGCATGGGCTTTGTGGAGACCTCCGCCAAGGCGGCCACCAACGTGGCGGAGGCGTTCCAGGACGCCCCCCCCCCGGGAGAGGGGTCCGCGCGCACCTCGCAGAAAGGGAAGAAACACTAGAGACATACCCTTCGGAGGTCCGCGCGGACTCCTCGGATCGGCACTGGACCCCCTGGCGCGCTCCGCACGCCAGGGAGGGGGATCCAGCGGCTACGAAATCCGCGCGGACCTCGAAAGTTTATGCTTATGCCGGTGTGTTTTCTTCTATGACCATCCCTTTTCTCCTCGTTCTCCTCCTCCTCCTCCTCCACCTCCTCCTCCTCCTCCTCATCATCATCATCATCATCATCATCATCATCATCATCATCATCATCATCATCATCATCATCATCATCCTTCCAGCGTCCATATCGGTCCGATCCGATTCGGCTCCGATATCCTGGCGGTCCGATGCGGCCTCATGCGCCTATCCCAGCGGTGCGCGCGGATCTCCGAACGGGGGTCTCTCTGCTGCCTCCCCCTGCTCTCGCGCCGGCGGAGCTGGCCCCCGCGGGCAGCGACGGGGCGCGCCCGAGGGCGGAGAGCGAGGGCGGCAGCAGGGCCTCAGGCGCCGGAGGCCAGCGAAGCGAAGGGCCACTCTGCTCGGGCCTTTCGTGTCGGGCGTTGCCGGAGGTGCCCCACGGCCCCGAGGGGTGCCCCCGAGGATTTCCGAGATCGGTGGAGGAGGACGAGGAGGAGGAGGAGGAGGAGGAGGAGGAGGAGGAGACGGAGGAGGAGGAGGAGGAGGAGGAGGAGGAGGAGGAGGAGGAGGAGACGGAGACCCCCGCGGGAGCCCCCGGGGCTCTTCTCTGGGCGCAGGCCAGCATCGGGTGTTGCCAGGAGAGCCCCTGGCCCAACAGGCCCCCAGGAGTTCCGAGCAGGCCCCCACGGCCTCCGGAGCGCCCCTCGCGAGGCCCAGGGGCCCAGGGGCTCCAAAAGGGAGCGAGGAGCTGGGGGGGGGCGCCTTGGGCCAGAGGCACCTTCGGCAACCCCCGGTCGTGTCGCTCCGCAGGTTCTGGCCCACCACGCCTCGGCGCGGCACGCCATCCGGTTCCTGGTCCCCCAGCGTCCACGTCCCGAGCCTTTCCGAGCCTCCCGCCCCGCGGAGCGGTACGCCATCTGCTTGCAAGGCACAGCGAGTCGCCGGGGCCCAGGGGCAGCACGCGAAGTCAGAGTGCCTGGCCGTAGATGGGGGAGGTATCGAGGGTTGCAGGGGAAAGGGGGCCAAAAGGGGCTCCGATGGTGCACCAAAGGCGTACCATTCGTCACCCCCCGTTTGTTGCCCCCCCCCCCCGTTACGGTAGCGCCCGAGCCTCCACCCGTCTCCCCAGCCGCCCCCCCCCCATCGTCCCCTCCGTAAACTTTCCTAGGCCTCCTAGATAGGGCCGGAGCAGATGGGGCCGGATGATCGCGCCACATCGCCGATGCATCGCCGAGGCGGCTCGATGTGGAACCCGATTTGCTGCACCTCGACGTCGCCGATGCATCGCCGACGTCGACGATGCATCGCCGACGTATCGGCGATGCGGCGCGATCCTCCGACCCCATCTACTCCGACCCCATCTAGGAGGCCTCTGAACTTGGGACTGGGGAGAAGGGATGACCGCGGATCAAGGAGGTTTAGGATGTTGTTGGGCGTCATTGGATGGCCTGGGGGCGCCTGGGGTGTCCAGGGAGTCCCATTCCTTGAAGTGGTGGCGACCTCCCTAGTGGTGAACCCCATGGCATTGCTTGGCTCTCCCCTCCACCTCGGGTCGGACGAGAGGGGTGGGGGTGGGGAAGGGGGGCGTACGAACTCTGCCGTATCTAGTTGGTTTTCGGCCCCGTCGCTCAGCGCGGTCCTCGATGCATGGCCGCATCCGGCGCCGGGAGGTGCCCGGAAAACCGGCTACAAGACTGACATTCGCTAGCCTCCTCTTGTCCGCCCAGACTCCCCGTCCCTCCCACGCACCCCGCGCGCCCATCCTCATTTCCCACCCCCGCCCCTCACGCGCTCCCAGTGGCACACCGTGCCACCACGCGGCGCCCTCGTAGCGGCCCGTGCCGACTCGCTCGGCCGCGGCCCAGAGGTGCGCAGCACCTCCCGTCTGCATCTGCTCTTGGAAGCCCGCGTGCATGTCGTGGCTGCCTCGCCGCGTGGTCCACGCGAGCCCCCTGAGCGAGTTATCCCTGGCCTGCGTGCGCACGCCTCCCAGGCGTCGGGCTTGTGTGTCCCCGAGACTGCGCACAGACCACGCTCCCCCCCGTGAACCCCGCCCATCCCTTGGCCCAGCAGGCGACAAGCGGAGCAGAACAAAAGTTCCGGCCATCAGGGGGCCTGCCCCAGCGTGATCGGAAGGCGCGGACCAAATTTTTCCGTCCAGTTCCGCCCTGGCGAAGCAAGGGGAGACACAGTAGGGATGGACGGGTGGGAACGCTCCAGCGGTAGGATTGCGTACCGACTGTTTTTGTTCCTTGTACGTTGGTACCACGATTCCTCACGTGATCGCCACGTTGTCGCCATTTTCGTCGTGGCGCATGAAGGAACAAGGTTCTGCCCCAGCGAAAAGTTTAGGGCTTGTGGACGCGCCCGCCCGCCTATCCCCATCCGTCCGCCCAGGCCTGGCACCGAGGGCGCCAGCCTGAGGCCTGGCGGCCTGAGCTCACGCGCGGGCCGCCTCTGGACCAGGAGCATGATCGGAGGCGCGGCACTGCGATGGGAGGACTTCCAGCCCCCTCTCACAGAGTGCCTCTGGCCTTGCCTCACGCCTTTCTTTCTCGCCCCACCCCCACCATGGAGGTTCAGGGTTTCAGGAGCCCGCTCGATAGAGCTGTCAGACTTGGGATGTGTTGCTATTGGCCAGTCAGGCTTTGCCGCGTCCCGCATCATTTCATCTGCACGCCCATCATCGCCGTGTCCAGCTTTTCACCTCTTGCCATCTACACGGGTGAGGCGTGACGCTCTCGGCCGTAAAATAGGACCTGTCTGCTTGGGGTTGATCGAGCGTCGCAGTCATTAGGTGTTTCCAGCCAGCCCGTCCGTCCACTCCGTCCACCCGCCGCTCTGGCGTGACGGCCAGGCCGCGTCCGTGGAGCTCATCGCCAAGCGGCAGTCGGCCGCCGCCGCGCCGCGGCAGCAGGCAGCGGTGCCCCCACCCCGCCCTCCTCTGCAGCGGAGGTGCTCGGCGAGGAAGGAAGGAACGCGGCGGCGACGACTGCACCGACGACGACGACGACGACGCCGACGCCGACGACGCCGACGACGACGACAACGACGACGACGACGACGACGACGACGACGACGACGACGACGACGACGACGACGACGACAACGACGACGACGACGACGCCGCCGCCGCCGCCAACGACGACGACGACGACGACGCCGACGACGACGCCGACGCCGACGCCGACGCCGACGCCGACGACGACGACGACGACGACAACGACGACGACGACGACGACGACGACGACGACGACAACGCCGACGATAACGACGACGCCGCCACCGACGACAAACGACGACGACGACGACCACGACGACGCCGACGGCGACGGCGACGACGACGCCGACGCCGCCGACGCCGCCGACACCGTCGACGCCGACGCCGACACCGACGCCGACGATGACGACGACGACGACGACGCAGACGACGACGCCGACGACGCCGACGACGACGCCGATGACAACGACAACGACGCCGACGCAGACGACGACGCGCGGCCGACGACGCCGACGACGACGACGCTGCCGACGACGACGAAGACGCCGACGACGACGACGCGTCGACGACCGACGACGCCGACGCCACGACGGTGCGACGACGACGACGACGACGACGACGACGACGACGACCCGACGACGACGCAACGACGCCGACGCCGACGACGCCGACGACGCCGACGACGCCGCCGACGCCGACGACGACGACTACACGACGACGACGACGACGACGACGACGACGACGACGACGACGACGACGACGACGACACCGCCTCCGCCGACGTCGACGACGACGACGACGACGACGACGCCGCCGCCGCCGCCGACGACGACGAGGACGACGACGACGCCGACGACGACGACGTCGACGACGACGACGTCGACGACGACAACCATGACGCCGACGACGACTCCGACGACGCCGACGCCGACGACGACGACGACGACGACGACGACGACGACGACGATGGCGACAACGACGACGACGACGACGACGACGATGACGACGACTACGACACTACGACCATGACGACGACGACGACGCCGACGGCGGCGGCGGTGGTCGCGGCGGAGGTGCTCGGCAAGGAGGGAAGGAACGTGGTGGCGACGACTGCAACGACGACGACGAGGATGGCGACGACGACGATGACGACGACAACGACGGCGACGACAACTTCGACGACGACGACGACGACGACGACGACGACGACGACGACGACGACGACGACGACGACGACGACGGCGGCTACGACGACGACGACGACGACGACGACTACGACACGACGACGACGACGACGACGACGACGACGACGACGACGACGACGACGACGACGACGACGACGACGACGACGACGACGACGGCGGCGGCGCCGGCGCCGGCGAGGTCTGCGGTTTTGGCGGTTACGGCGGCTCTGGCGGAGACGTTGGCGGCGGCGACGGCGACGATGACGACGACGGTGGCGGCAGCGTCGACGGCGAGGACGGCGACGACGGCGACGACGACCGCGACGACGACGACGTCGACCACGACGCCGACGACAATGACGACGGCAGCGTCGGCGGCTGCGGCGGTTACGGCGGCGACGACGACGACGACGACGACGACGACGACGACGACGACGACGACGACGATGGCGGAGGCGGCGGCGGCGGCGGCGGCGGTGGTGGCGGCTGCGGCGGCGCTGGCGGCGGCGGCGACGGCGGCAGCAGAGGCGACGGCGACGACGACGACGATGACGACGACGACGACGACGACAACGACGACGACGACAACAGCATCGACGACGACGACGACAACGGCAACGACGACGACGACGGCGACAACGACGACGACAGCGGCGGCGGCAGCGGCGGCGGCGGTTACGGCGGTTCTGGCGGCGACGGTGGCGGCGACGACGACGACGACGACGACGATGACGACGACGACCACGACGACGGCGGCGGCGGTGGCAGTGGCGATGGCGGCGACGGCGGCGGCAATGACGGCGACAGTGGCGACGACGACGACGACGACGACGACGACAGCGACGACGACGACGACGACGACGACGACGACGACGACGACGACGCCGCCGCCGCCGCCGCCGCCGCCGACGACGACGACGACGACGACGACGACGACGACGACGACGGCTACGACTGCGACACTACGACGACGACGACAACGACGACGACGACGACGACGATGACGACGGCAACGACGACGACGACGACGACGACGACGACGACGGCGGATGCGGCGGCGGCGGCGGCGGTGGCGGCGGGGGCGGTGGTTCTGGCGGTTACGGCGGTTCTGGCGGCGACGCTGGCGGCGGCGACGGCGACGACGACGACGGCTGCGGCGGTTACGGCGGAGGCGGCGGTTCTGGCGGCGACGACGACGTCGACGACGACGACGACGACGACGACGACGACGACGACGACGACGACGACGGCGGCGGGGGCGGCGGCGGTGGCGGCTGCTGCGACGCTGGCGGCGGCGGCGATGGCGGCAGAGGCGACGGCAACGACGACCACGACGACGACGACGGCAACGACGACGACGACGACGACGACGACGACGCCAATCACAACCTCGACGACGACGACGGCGATGACGGTAACGACGACGACAACGGCGGCGGCGGCGGCGGTTACGGTTGTTCTGGCGGCGACGGTGGCGGCGGTGACGGCGACGACGACGACGACGACGACGACGACGACGACGACGACGACGACGACGACGACGACGACGACCACGACCACGACGACGACGTCGGCGGCGGCGTCGGCGGCGACGGCGGCGGCAACGACGGCGACGACGACGACAGCGACGACGACGAAGACGACGACGACGACGACGGCGGCTGCTGCGGCGGCTTCGGCGACGCTGGCGGTGGATGCGACGGCGACAGCGGCAGCGGCGGCGACGTCGACGACGACGTCGACTGGCGGCGACGACGACGACGACGACGACGGCGACGACGGCGACGACGACGACGACCACGTCAACGACAACGACAACAGCAACAACAACAACAACGACGACGATGACGACGACGACGACGACGACGACGACGACGACGACGACAGCGGTGGCGGCGGCGGTGGCTGCGGCGGTGGTGACGGCTGTTACGACGGTTCTGGCGGCGATGGTGGCGGCGGCGGCGCTGGCGGTGGCGACGACGTCGACGACGACGACGACGACGACGACGACGACGACGACGACGACGACGACGACGACGACGACGACGACGACGGCTAGGCGCGGCAACGAGAGGGGGCGGGGGGAAGGGGGCCCTGCACAGCGGCAGAGTGGGCGCGCGCGCATCAGGATCAGGAGGGGATGCTGTACGGTGCGCGCTCGCGCTGCCCAAGTCCGAGCGCCCCCCAAGCCTGGCCCGCTCCCGCATAGGGTCAGAGGACTTCGTTTCGGCATCCACGGCAGGTCCGCGTCGCGTCGACACGGCTGCGACCTTTTGAACGCGCCAGTGGCCCAGCATCGACCAATGCGTGGAACGATCTGGCGATCGAAAGGCCGCTGATGGCTGCATGCTGAACGATCCAGGCGGTGTCAGAAAAACCAGCGCCCATGTCGTCACGGCACCAGCCCGCCGTGCTTCCCCGCAGCCCCCTTCCAAAGAGGGAGCGGCCCATTTTACGAGCGGTGCCCTTGCGCACGAGGTCTCGCTGCGCGGCCGGCGTGCGCGCGGGAAGGGCCATGTCAGGCCTTCCAGGAAGGGTCGCGCCTTCGAGGATCGAAGGAGTTGCCGCCTCTACCTCGACAGAGGGCCCGCGGCAGCCGGCGGAGAAGTAAAACGAGGGCGGCTCCGCTGGCGGAAGGTTGGCGGAAGCCAGCGGAAGTTGAAATCAAGCCTCGGCGGCTCAAGGATCCGTTTCCCTCCTCAGGGGAGCGGGGGGTCGCAAGTGCCCCCCTGGTTGTGACCCGCGCCCGCACCGAGCCAGACCTGCCATGTGCGATGCCTGTGGCGCGGCTGGGCGCTGCTAGCAGCTTCTACGCCAGCGAGGTGAGCTTGCAGAGGCTGCCCGACCTCTGCGAACAGCGAGTGGGAGTTCTACGGAGACCCGTTCTTCTTGGAAACCAGGGCCTATGGGTGGCTACATGGGCCCGAAGGCCCGAAGTTGGGCGGTAAGGCTCATGGAGGGAGTTCATTTCCATGGTCGCCCACGCTGCTAATTACAGATCAACTGCAGTCCCATACCTGAAATTTCCTCGAGCATGCCTTCTGCCCGCGAGGTGTTGTCGACATAATCCACTTACTTGTTCTCCGTTGCGTCGCTTTTGCCCCACTACTTCGTCCACGTGTTGGGCTGGCTCTTACGGTGACGCATTGCACTCGGCGGCCTCAGTCGCTGGCGTTCGAGTTGGTACCATTTCTGGTTATCCCTTTGCTGCTTCGTCATGGCGCGTCGGCGCTCAGCTGCCCCTTTTGGGATAGACGCTTGGTCAGCGCTTCGGCTGCCCTTCGTGGGCTAGACATTTGTTTTCGCAGGCCGGCGCGTTGCCCATGCTACTCGGATGGCCCACGGCCTCGGCAGCGCCAATTGGCAGGAGTGATTCGCACTAGCCTTAGGCGGTCGCCGTCGGCAACGTGACAATTTTGCCAGCCACTTCCCCCCTGTCCTGCTCGCCCCTCCTCCTGGCGTCTGATGGCGTTCTGGTTCAGAGTGCTCTTGTTCGAAATTCGGATGAACTTCACGGGACGAGGCCCGCCGCGTAGCTAGAGGGCCACGCGGCGGCTGTTCTCGTCGCGCCATCCCCTCAGAGGAGGGGGGCGCTCGAGTGCAGGATCATGATTTCGTTCGCTTTCAGCGACTCGTCATCCCTGTCTCGGCGCCCCATTCGGGCTCCAGAACAATTCGAAAAACATTGTGTTTCTGTGCCGTGGCATTATGTGCCTTAGTATTATATGAATTTGCTGCGCCGCGAATGCGGTTGTTTCTCATCGAGACCA